CTACAATTACGCATGTCCATACATGACCTGATCGAATATTTCCCGAATTTCTATTTTTTCCCACCAATCCGAGCCTCATCTTTGTTACTAAGCAAGACATCTCCAACGAATCCGGTAATCGCCATCCCCGAAATTTCCCATTTTTCGAAACTATAAAAAGTCCGACCCATATGATTTCTGGGTCTTATTATCATTACGACGTCTACGAGTATCACTTCTGTATTCATTCACTTATTATCATTACGACGTCTACCAGTACCACTTCTGTAATTTTTATTGTCATTACGACGTCTACAAGTATCACTTCTGTATTCAATCATTTATCATTATGATGTCTATGAGTATCACTGAAGATTCAGAATCGAAGGAAGCAATTAACTTAGGAGATCCAGGACCATCCATTTCTCTCCTCGCACACACTAACAGTAAGTTATTGTTTTATTATCCGGTTTTCCGTGTCTCAATTTTGAATAAGTCCGGACAGACATATCTTTTCTTTGTCGGAAATCCAATCGCAATAATTCCGGTGAATATTAATTAGCGGCAGAATTTCCAAAAAGCGGGTTGTCCCTTCCTCGTTGTAGTGGGACGCCGGTCTTGCCAGCAACGGAGTGATCTGCGCGACGCTCTTGAAACGCTGGAGCTTCTATCTTCCTCCTCGGACGCCCTTTAGCGCGGAGTATTCGAGCGGATAACCCGCAGAGCGTTATCTCGATATTTAAAACTAGAAAATCTACCCCCCTTCCCTCTCCACTTACAGCCATTCTCTCTAGATTCGCATCCTCGTCCACTATCTCCACCTCCTCCTCCATCTTTCCCTATAAGTTATTTTCCACCCCCCTCACCTCCCGACGATCCTGAATATTAATGCTCATCCTCAACCCATACGCTGACACACACTCACTCACACACACACACACCACCACGATTGTAACTATAAATAAATCGAATTTTATTCCTTTGTTAAAAAACATTAATTTTTGTTTACCCGTCCTCTCCTGTTATCGCTCAAGGTCAAGTCCTGAGTAAAGAGATTCAGTTCTCTGACTCGAAATCGGACCGCTCGCCGTACGTCGTCGGGCTAGTAAAGTGATCCTTCTGGTCGTTGACTAGCTCTTCGACCTATAAGTACAGGTGAGGCTTTCCTTATGTTGCGTTCTCCTACAGGACGTAACACTATGCACAGTATAATTTGTAAAACGTGCTCTTTATACATTTAACTATTTGGGTAATAATTGTTATATCTATACATAAATTACAACAGTCCATTCTATATTTTTATTCATATTATATATACATCACTTAAATTTGCAAAGTATAATTTGTAAAACGTGCTCTTTATACATTTAACTATTTGGGTAATAATTGTTATATCTATACATAAATTACAACAGTCCATTCTATATTTTTATTCATATTATATATACATCACTTAAATTTGCAAAGTATAATTTGTAAAACGTGCTCTTTATACATTTAACTATTTGGGTAATAATTGTTATATCTATACATAAATTACAACAGTCCATTCTATATTTTTATTCATATTATATATACATCACTTAAATTTGTTATCAAATATTATAATCGAAACATATAATGAGCAGCGTACTTAAAATTAACGATAATATCTTTATCTTATTATACGATTCACTTGCGCTGACTGCAGAACGATGCGACATGGACACCACCTTCACCACTACAAAAAGAGACAGATATATATACACACACACACCCACACCCACACCCACCCACCCACACACACACACACACACACACACGCGCGCATATATAAATACAGGATGTAAAAAAATTAGACCGACAAACTTTGAGTGGAAATAGAGGACATAAAAACAAACATATTTTGTTAATAATGTTTTTCTCTACGACGCTTCGTTTTAATATTACAGGGTACAAAATAGGAATTTTATGATTTTAATAAAAAACAAACATATAAGTGGAAAAATTAAATTTATTATAATTACACATATATATTTTAATCTTCAAAAAACAATGAACAAAAAAACGGAACAAAAATGCGCAATTGATTAGCTCAATTTATAATGAATGTTTTACGAGGGCATATGAAAACTCTCATTTATGAGACACCTATTGAAATAGAAGCAGAATTGGTAACCCGAATTACTGCTGCAACATATCAAGTTCAAAATATTCCTGCAGTCTTCGAGCATGTGAAACAATCAATGTTTCGACGATGTCATTTTTGGGTTGAAGCAAATGGAGGAATTTTTGAACATTTATTATAAATTGAGCTAATCAATTTTTGTTTCGTTCTTTTGTTCATTGTTTTTTGAAGATTAAAATATATATGTGTAATTGAAATAAATTTAATTTTTCCACTTATATGTTTGTTTTTTATTAAAATCATAAAATTCCTATTTTGTACCCTGCAGTATTAAAATGAAGCGTCATTGAGAAAAATATTATTAACAAAATATGTTTGTTTTTATGTCCTCTATTTCCCCTCAAAGTTTGTTGGTCTAATTTTTTTACCCTGTATATATATACAGGGCGACTCACACTTTCCTCCGGGAATTTTGTGGGGACTTAGAATGGGTTGATGTGAACATAAAAGTCCTATACCGTTTTGCGAAATTCACAATAATAGTCGAGATATTAATTAAAAAAGATTAAGGAAAAACGCACGCTGAATGGTAGAGGAAGGACCGCTCGAGTCACAGCGCAGCCCAGTAATATAGCGCGCGGATGTCGCGCGCGGTGATTGGAAAACAATGCACCACTGTCTATACTTATACCGCTGCGCTCCTACGTCTTGCCGCACCGCGCCGAGATAAGAATAGGCAGTGGTGCATTGTTTTCCAATCACCGCGCGCGACATCCGCGCGCTTTATAACTGGGTCGCGTTGTGACTCAAGCGTCCTCTACTATTTAGCGTGCGTTTTTCCTTAATATTTTTTAATTAATTTCTCGACTATTATTGCGAATATCGCAAAACGGTATAGGACTTTTATGTTTACATCAACCCATTCTACGTCCCCACAAAATACCCGGAGGAGAGTGTGAGACACCTTGTATATATATATATATATATAAAATATTCAAATAAATCTTATAAATATTTTGTAAATATTTTATAAATATTTTGTGCTGTCTGGGTATATATGTTTCATCCTTTTAATTTTAAAAATTACAAAATTATCTTGTAAATTACAAATCTGGATGTCTTTTATATGTCCATTGAACGTCCATCGGATTTCCTGTGGACTTTACCAGATGTATACCCATGAAATGCGGATTTTCCTAACAGATGGTGTCACACATACGTTCTTACGCGTGGTGATTTAACATATATAGTATTTTGTTTGGCTATTCTTAACCTACAAAACCATACATGTGGAAAATTGTGACAGTGTAAATATCATAGTCTTTTTCTGCTTTGAAAATGTCGAATTTCGTACAAAAAAAAACCATTTGCGGGAGGTTTTGCGGTTGATTCATTACTTCATTTTGAAGAAAACTGCTGCTCAAACTTGTCGAATACTTATAGGAGCTTACGGTGAGCATGCACCATCTCAAGACACTTGTGAACGTTGGTTCAATCGATTCAAAACTGATGATTTTGATGTGAAAGACAAGGCTAAGGGAAAACCACCGAAAAAATTTTAAGATGCAGTGTTGCAAGCATTGTTAGACGAAGACTCCACTCAAACTCAATCACAATTGGCGGAAGTATTAAATATGACTCAAAAAAGTGTTAGCGAGCGTTTGCGCGCGATGGGAAAGATTCAAAAAGAAGGAAAATGGGTACCACATGATTTGACTGAAAGATAGATGAAGAATCGAAAAGTCACCAGCAAACTCCTGCTGAGAAGACATCAACGGAAGAGTTTTCTGTATCGAATCGTCACAGGTGATAAAAAATGGATATATTTCGAGAATCCCAAACGAAGAAAATCATGAGTTGATCCAGGGCAACTATCAACATCGATTGCAAGATCAAATCGGAAAGAAGACAATTCGGAAAGAAGACAATGCTCTGTGTTTGGTAGGATCAAAAGGGTGTTGTTTATTATGAACTTCTCAAATCTGGTGAAACGGTTAATGCTGCACGCTACCGACAACAAATGATCAATTTGAATTATGCATTGATCACAAAACGTCCGAAATGGGCCCAAAGACATGGAAAAGTGATTTTGCTACATGACAATGCGCCGGCCCACATCACAAAAGTTGTTAAGGAAACTTTAAAAGAATTGAATTGGGGTGTGCTACCTCACCCGCCGTATTCGCCGGACATTGCTCCTTCGGACTATCACCATTGTTCCGGTTGATGGCGCACGGATTGGCTGAGCAGCATTTCGCTAATTTCGAAGAAGTGAAAAAAATGGGTCAATTCATGGTTTGTTTCGAAAGATGAATGTTTCTATCGTCGCGGAATCCATCTTTTGCCAGAAAGATAAGAAAAAGTTGTAACGTCGAATGGCACATACTTCAAATAAATAGCTTTAACCATTCACTTCAAATTAATATGTGTATTTTCTTTAAAAAATCCGTATTTCATAGGTATATACCTGGTAGTATGTCCTCCAATTTCATAAACGGATATTCCGCAAACGTCCATTGAGTCTCCGAAGGACGTAAAACGGATGGTTTATAGATATCCTCAATATCCTTAAAGGACATCTTATGAATATCTATAGGATATCCATGTGCTATCTGGACTTTATATAAATATTTTATGCATATATCTCTTACTTCTCTTTTATTATATGAAATATTTGAACTAAATAGTTAATTTTTGTAGTCGTACTAAATAATATTATAAGAAAATTATAATTACTGCTTCGGCTGCATATGGGGATAATAAAAAACACTTAATATAAGTTAAAAAAATAGCGCAGTAGCCAAAGTGATAGACTAGAAACTTGAAGGTTGACTAGAAACTCTAAGGTTTCGAGTTTGCCTCCGACCAGTAGTGCTGGGCAAATTTTCAGGCATGAAAATAGGGAGAAATCAAATAAAAGAGTTAAATTTTATTTAAAATAAACATAAGTTGATTAGTTGCGATCGTTTCTACAAGTTATATTTTTTATTAAAAAAATTGAATGGTATTAAGTATATTATATTAACCTGAACTATTATATTAACTTGAACGTTCCGTACAAAGTTTCTGTAATATTAATAGAATATGGATGACTGGAGTAGACAAATATTTTCATGTTATTAGAAGATTAATGGCAAGTTTATTAACCTCCATGTAATGTTAGCATCTTACAATTTAAAGTTGCTGTAACCTTATGGCAATATTGATGTACTGTGAGGGTAGATCAAAGAAGAATTTGTTCTTAATGTTTTTGTAAAATTTTTCCAACAAGTAAATATTTTTTTACAAAACTCCTTCACTAAAAACGCCGTCTTAGGTCCGCCATATTGATTTTTCGGAAAAAGCCCTACGGTACATTAAAATAGATATATTAAACTAACATTTAAGCCTCGACAGAAATTTTTCGTGCAAATGAATTCTGGATAGAGGAAGAGATCTTTTATAGAAAATGCCTCATATACAGGGTGTTTCAGAACAATCAACGAAGCTCTCGTGAGAATGTAGAGCAGGTTAAAATAAATATAAAAGTCCTATATCATTTTACGATATTCATAATAATAACCGAGAATTAATTACGAAAGATTAAGGAAAAGCGTGTGCTGAATGGTAAAGGACGGACCGCTCGAGTCAAAGCGCAGCCCAGTAATATAGCGCGCGGATGTCTCGCGTAGCGATTGGAAGACAACGTATCACTGCCTATACTTATATCGCTGCGCTCCTACGTCTTGCCGTACCGCACCGAGACATAAGTATAGGTAGTGGTGCGTTGTCTTCCAATCGCCACGCGCTATATTACTGGACTACGCTGTAACTTGAGCGGTCCGTCCTCTACCATTCAGCTTTTCCTTAATCTTTCGTAATTAACTTCTCGGTTATTATTACGAATATCGCAAAACGATATAGGATTTTTATATTTATTTTAACACGTTTTACGTTCTCACGAGAGTTTCGCAGATTGTTCTGAGACACCCTGTATGTATGTGTGTGTATATACAGGGTGTCTGACTCGTACCGTACCGGAGTTAATATATAGTTAGAATAGGTCGGGATGAGTAATGGAATGGGTGTTTTTTTTTTAAACAACCACGTAACATTTTGAGATATTAACAACGAAAGATTTCTACCGAGCGGCAGCCCATTGGCCAATCAGCACACGCGCTATGATGAGACGAACGCTGTACGCGCTGTAGCATTGGCATGACAGATTAGCCGGCCCAGCCTCCTAGCAACGCGTTTTCCTCGTTGCTCATATCTCAAAATTTCATGTGGTTATTTAAAAATAGACATCCATTCTATTACTCACTCCGACCTATTTTAGCTATATATTAGTTCTGGTACGGTACGAATCAGACACTATATATATACAGGGTGTCCCAGATCACATTCACAATCTCTTGTGAGGACGTAAAGCGGATTGAAATGAACACAAAAGTTCTATATCGTTTTGCAATATTCGCAATAAATCTCAAGATTTTAATTAAAAAAGATTGGTGAATGATCACGCGCGATGGTATATGAGCTGCAATTGCGCCATTTGCCGTTGTATACTTGTACATTAAGTCAAACTGAACAAAAAAGTCCTCTATCATTTTGCAAATAACAATAGATTTTTAGATATTAATTAAAAAAAAGTTGTGCATTATGGTACATAATCATGTAACAATTTTCTTTGATTAATATCTAAAAATCTATGTTGTCATTTGCAAAATGGTAGAGAACTTTTTGTCCAGTTTGACTTAATGTACAAATATATAACGGTAGACGGCGCAATCCATCATATCCAGCTCATCTACCATATCACGCATTATCATTCACCAATCTTTTTGAATTAAAATCTCGACTATTATTGCGAATATCGCAAAATCGTATAGGACTTTTGTGTTCATCTCAATCCGCTTTCCGTCCTCACGAGAGATTGTGAAGATGATCTGGGACACCCTGTATACAGTGTGTCCCATAAGTTCGGCAACGGCAAGAAAACTCGGCGGGGGAGCATTTTAAAGAAAAATGTTTCAAATAAAAATTGTAAGGCAAAAAGTCGCATTTAATGACAGTAGTTATTTGATGACCTAAGATGACGTCGCCAAGGTCAGGACAAGGTCAACTTTGCCTTTTTAGATAGAAATACATATTTTTTTATTACGGAATTTTATTCCACGTAAAAAAGCAAACAACTTTTGTTTGAAAAAATTTTTTATACGACCTCTATTTTCTAAGATATTTACGTAAATATCTACAAAATTATTGGTTTCAATAATTTTTTACTTGAATTCTGTCAACTTTACCGAAAAATATCAAGAGATAAAAATTATTTGTTTTGTTCTCATAGAGCTCTGAGGATTTTTTCAGAATTTTATATTAATTTTTTAGTACTGCATTTTCTTGCATTTTCTTGAAGTACTAAAAAGTTAACACAAAATTCTGAAAAAATTCTCAGAGCTCTTTGAAAACAAAATAAGCAATTTTTATCTCTTAATATTTTTCGGTAAAGTTAATAGAATTCAAGTAAAAAATTATTGAAACCAATAATTTTGTAGATATTTACGTAAATATCTTAGAAAATAGAGGTCGTATAAAAAATTTTTTCAAGCAAAAAAAATTT